CCCGTCCGCGCCATCCCACTCGCGGAGCACCCCGTCGCGCTCCCAGCACTCCTCGCCGCCCCCCGCCCCCCGCAGGGCCCGCAAAGACGCACAGCACGACCGCGACCGCGACCGCGAGTCCGCGTGGGGCAGGTCGAAGCTCCTCTCCCGCCTCCTCACGCGCGACGAGCGCGACGTCGCCCACGTCCGCACCATGCTCGCCCTCACCTCCGAGCGGCTCGCGCACGAGACGCGCCGCGCGGACGACGTGGGGGCCTGCATCGCGGACGCACGGCACAGGATCCGCACGGCGCGCGACGCGGTGCCGCTTGCACAGGCGGACACTGCGCACGCGCACGAGGGCGTCCGGCTCCACAAGCTGCGTCTGGGCGCAGCGTAGCGCGAGCAGCCTCCAGGCGCCCTCAACAATGGCAGCCGTCTGCTCCACTCCTAGGTACGTCCCATCTCCATCCCGCGCCCAGCGCCTCTGTCTGCCCGAGCGCACCAAGTCGCCTTGGCTCGCGTTCAGGCCCGCGCTCAACGAGTCCGTTAGATCGCCTCCGCGATCGCGATGGCAACCGCGTCCTGCGTCCTGCTCGCTCGCGCGTCGGCGACGTCACCCTGCCGTGTGTACTGATGCTATCTCACAGCCCAACGATCCCGTTTCCATGTCTGCCTGCCATCCCGTCCGTGCAGACAGAACACGGCCCATGTCTCTGCCCATCGACCATGCCCGTTGTGCTAGCAACGATCGCTGGGGCACGCGCCTCGGCCAAGGAGCAGTCGTGTCGGCTGCAGCGCGCTAACGCGACGACCATGGTGCGTTCTTTCTCTGATTTGGACGCGCAAGGCGTGTGCCGAGAGCGCGCGCGGGCGACCTGTGACCGAGGCGACGCGCGACGGGCGACGGCCGCCCGCGGACTTTGTGGCTCACGACTCACGTTCCGGGAACGCTGCTATGGTCCCTTGTCCCTGGGGCGCGCGCAGAGCCCGGGTGTGTGCGCGACCGTTGACGACTTTGCCCGTGCACTCACAAGGTCTTTGCAGATGTCGAGCGCGATAGGACCAGGCCACGGGATGCGCGCTCTGAGGCCGCAGAACGTCGGCTGCGTGACGTCGGACCCCGCATCGCCCATCGGAACAGTGGCTGAGAAGCGTCAGGGACGGGAGATGGCGTCGCGAGCGACACGGAAGATGCCGTGCGCTGGACCAACGCACGCGGTGACACTCATATCGCGGTGCGTTCTGCGCCCCGGCGGCGGCGGCGCAGCATCTCACCATCTGACCTGGGATGCACAGAGACGTCCGGGAGGGACGCGATGTGTACTTTATAGAGACGCACGTACAGCGGAAGCCCGGGGGACGCCGGACAGAGACAACCGGCACCCGAGCAGACAAACGAATATATTTCTACTCCTGGTATGTACACTGGCAGGCCTGGTCTATGCAGATCGGCCGGTGATGATGGCCGAGACGCGAGAACGACGCACCGGCCGCACGGGCGACCTGCTCACGACCGGATGGCCCTTCGCGAGGTCGCCGGGCAGCTTTGGGCAGCGTCGGCGAGCGAGCAGCCCATCTCGTGGCGTCGCGACGAGTGGTAGAGCGGGCGTACGTCAGTCAATCACCGAATGGCAAGGATACAACGCGCACCGTAGATCATACCTGCCGTGTGATCGTGCCGGTCACCGCAGAACGACGCGATCACGCAGCACTTGATGCAGCGTGAGTATGGTCGGCTGTGCGGGGTGCGCGATTTGCGCCGCGCGTCGTGGGCGCGGCGGCACGACCAGCTCTTCATCTTCAGTGGGCACACGCGCACCGTCGCGACCAAGGCGAACAAGCCTGTGTGGGCACGCTCCGTCTCGTGGCGCGGTCACGGCCCCAGCGTCAGCGCCCCTGCGTTGCCCATCTCGCCCAACTCAACAGGCTCCCCACCGGGAATATTGAGCTTGGGCTCCGGCTCGGGCTTGGAGCGCAACTCCAAGTCGGCCTCGACGGTGACGGCGGACACCTTCCCGCGCCTGGAGTCGTACGGCTGCCTGCGCAGTGCACCCGATGCCGTGAGACCACGTAAGCACATATTCCGTGTCGAGCTGGATGCGCAGACCCACAGCGCGCATCCAGGTTATTTGAGTCGGAGCCACTGCGAGAGTCAGCCTGAGCCCGCACGCGCACCTGCACCCGTAGCGCAGGCCGCTGGTCGAACGCCGGTGTCCTTTTGACACGGCAATGCTGCGGCACCGGCGGTCAGCCACGGCGCTGCCAGAGATGAGAGACGACAGCGCAGACACGTACCGTGCATGTGCGCATAGCGCGCGGGCAGCGTTCTGCATAACCTATGCTCCGTGGAGGCAAAGGGTCAAGAGTCCGGTCAGTGCGCTTCTGTGGAGGACAGGTGTGGCCCACACACCACATGAGGAGCGATAGGACGTCGGCGCGTGAGTTTCCGCTGACCGCTGAAGAATGGACGGGACAGGACGGGACCGGGGAGCACGCGCGCACAGTTCGAACCAGCGTCACCATGGGCACACAATTGCCGTGTACAACATGTGTCAAGATCTGGGGACCGAGCGCATGATGCTCAGAGCCTCCGGGGTAAACAGTCAGCACTGGCGGTACCAGTCAGACGGTCATGTACTCACGGAGAACGGCAGGTGCATCCGACGCGTGAGTATTGTACTGCGCTAACGGGCTCGACGCTCCCTCATGAACACTCGACGGGCAGCAGACGGAGGATGATACGCACCCGATTGCTCGTAGCGAGCATACCAGCCGGGCAGTTGGCATTCCGGCCACATAGCGACAGCACTCGGTTGTCCACTGGAGTGCGGAAGATGCAGGAAACAAGCTGCAGCTGCGGCTTTATATATTGTTTCCTGAGAGTCTGCGGAGGCCGATGCCGCGCATCTTGTCAGACGAGTCTACGTGAACATTGAGTCAATTGCTGTTACATGCGCAAAAAACAAATGCGCTTGCAGCTACCCGAACATGTTGCAACATAGCGAGTCATGACAACAGCTTAAAATAGTACAGTGCACTATCGAGCAGAATGCGCTGCATTATGGCTATTTTTGGTTAAAGATCTTCCTGACTGCGATGGGAGTCTATGTAGAAACGAGTGTCAGCGTCGGGTTTGAACAAGCGAGCGCGAAGGTTTATGGAAGCGAGCGGCGTGGGAAAATATCAAATACGAAGCGGTTTGTCTCGTCCTCGGGGCGGGGAGGTAAACGCGCGAAGTAATTACATGCGAGAACTCGGCCTAATATAGTAAACACTTATCTAAATCAGGTACGAAGGAACAAGGTACTATCGCGCCGCAGTGCGGCACGTCGGCGAGCCGGTAGTCAGGCATGCGCTCGCCCGGTTGTTTCAACAGTCTAGCCCGACTGTACCTATTTGTAGTATCTCAACAACTTTATTTATTGCACTGCATGTCCTTCAGGCATTCTCGCACCTCGCATTCCGACTGCTTGCTTTGACGTACAGACTCATTGTCACAGTTTCCCTAATTTTACCTAATTTTTCCGCTATTTCTGCGGACATATCAAAGGGTATAGGGACTTATCCATACTTATCCGTCCGCATATGGGTACATCTACATATCTAAGGGGTTATCCGCTTAAATAAGCGACACATGATCTTGTTCTGAACACATCAGGCTGGACTCTGATGCCGGACCTTTTCTAGATAGAAACCAGACTCCTTCTGGACCATGACATCATTCTGACATCATAGGTAGGAGCTAGGCTCAGGCACTAGGCCATAGGCCGGTCAATTCTGGACCCTAGGCCCAGGGCAGGGCAGGGCCAGACTATGACATCATATATGACATCATAGAGCACATGATACTTAGTAATCCTTACCCAGCTAGGTACCAGGGGTCCATTACCGGTCCCTGGGGGGTTTTCCCTCATGTATATAAGGCAGCATCCTGTGGCACCCTGTCCCCCAGTTCTATTCACTTCGTGTTGCGCTTAA